TTCTCAGGAAGACAGAGATACGCAAGAAGGATCTAACAAGTAGCTACAGCCTAAGGGTTGTCAAAAATAGCATATTACCTCCTCACCAGTGACTCCTGTCATTGAGGTGTGACTGCTGGAAGGAAGGATAGGATTGAAAAGAAGGACCGAGAGACTTGCACCTGTGTCTAGCAACGGCTGTTTTCTTGTTCCTCCATAGTCGTGATTACCCAGGGCTCCTCCATGGAGATGACAGTCTGGCCAGAGGGAGAAGGCAGAGTGTGCCTTGGGCCCTCTCATTCCTGTTGGACTAACTGGTATGATGGGTCTGAGCTCTGGGGCCTCCACTTCAGAGGGCAGACCAATCTCCAGTGGTCACCTTTGCATTCAGGGCATGGCCCATGGGGCTTCTTAGGGCAGTTCCTCTTGAGGTGGCCTGGCTTTTAACAATGGTAGCAGATGAATGCAGTCCTGGAGTTCTTCTTGGGGCCCTGGGAATCAGACTTGGGATCTGTTTCTCTTAGTGGTGCAGCAAAAGCAGCTGCTTTTTTCTTGGTCTCTTTGTTTTCTCTCCTTGCCCTCCTCCTCGTCATGGCTATAGAATACTAAAGAGGCAATTCTTACTAACATCTCAAGTGAGCTGTCTGGGGCGAAAGCCATTCTTTGTAGCTTTTTCTCTCCAGCCTCCCCTCGCATTGGGACCCCACAACCAGTTAGTGTCCTCTCTCCAACTGTCAGCACAGGCAGCAGGAATCTTGCTGCAGACCTCCCTGGAGCTCCAACACAGCCTGTACTGTCAGGAGAAGAATGGCTTCCAGGGAGTCTCCACAGGTATTGTGCAAGGTCCCCCTGGTTTACAGCTTCCTAACTGCTCTCATGACCCCAGTCCACAGGACCTCTGACTGCTCGGGCTTAGTCTGCATTCTCATGTTCTCTGGGTCCTTGTTCAGCAGCTGCTCCTCCACTGACTCTGGACCTTTAAGGTTCTCAATGGCAGGAGCAAGAGTGACCCGTTGTATGGCATATATTCCCAGGGGTTTCTCCATGTTTGAATGATTCACACACGTCCGTGGGTGGGCATCTGCAGCCGGTGCATGGTGGGCCAATTGTGTCATTGTTTCTCTGTGTCATGGTAGTTCTCAATTGAGCGGCAGCGGCCAGCCTGAGGGCCGGCATGCAACAGCGCTCGCCCCCACACGGCTTCCAGTGTGCCGGAGCCCCTCCTCCCGGACGCCTGCTAGGTTAGGGGCTGGCCCGAGGGCCAGCACTCCCCACCCCGTGTCTTCCCAGGCACTGGGGGCCCTCCTTCTGGGTGCCTAGGAGGGAGGGAGCTGGCCTGAAGACCGGCGCTCCCCGCCGCGTGGCTTCCTATGCGCCAGAGCCCCTCCTCCTGGGCGCCTGCTAGGCTGGGGGGCAGCCCGAGGGCCAGTGCTCCTACCTTAGTTACATCTATAGAGGGCCTATTTCTAAATAAGGGAACACCAAAAGGAAAGTCAAAGCCATATGTGGTGCATGTGCTGATATGGCCAGCATTCTGGGAGGCTCAAAGGTTAGGAGGGTCGGAAATTCAAGCCCAGCATGGGCAATTAGTGAGATTCTATCTCAGAATAAAAAAGGGCTGGGGATATAGCTTAATGTGAAGGCCCTGGGTTCAAGCCCCAGTAATGGGGGCAGGGGGAGTAGGAAGGGGAGGGGGAGGGAAGGGGAGGGAAAGGAAGCAAAGTGTGAAGTGAAGCAAAGCAAAAGAAGAAGAAAAAGAAGGAAGTTAGTTGTGATGGCTGAAGAGCCCCATAAAAGGAGCCCCTCTCTACTGGGCCATCCACTCCTGTATCCACTGGGGACACATTTGTATCCAGTGGTCTATGTGCTTGTTTTTACAGCATTACCAATGCACCGTGAGCCATATGTTTAAAGCATACAATTTGACAGGTGTGGTGACATATAACTGTAATCCCAGCACTCTGGGAGGCTGAGACAAGAGGATCACTAGTTTGAGTTCCACCCGGGCAATTTAGCAAGACCCTGTCTAAAAATTATAAATAAATAAGTAGAATTGGGGTTGTAGCTCAGTGGTAGAGCACCCCCGGATTTGATACTCAGTATCACAAATAAATAGCATGCAATCCCAGTTTTGACACACATCCATCTCATAAAGCCATTGCCACAATCAATGAACACCCCATCACCCCAAAGCTCCCTCGAGCACCCGTTTGTCCTTTCTCTCCCTCTGAATATTGCTTGTTGATTCTTCCTTTTTTTCTTTGCACTATTGGGGATTGAACCCAGGGCATTTGCACTGAGCTACATCCCCAGCCCTTTTAATTTTTTAATTTAAAGGGCCTCACTAAATCACTACGTTGCTCAGGCTAGGCTCGAACTTGCAATCCTCCACCAGCCTCCAAGAATGCCGGGATTCCAGGCCTGTGCCCAGCTTGCCTTTCATTTTTAACAGTACTGTATGCCCAGAATTGGACGGGAGCCCCCACTGACTGCTGCCTGATGCAGGCATGGCTGGGGCTGAGCATTTCCTGGCTCCAGTCCTGGGCTCGTGCCCAACGCCCTGCTAGAAGTGTCTCAGCTTCTCTGGGTGTGGCCGTGAGCACTCGGTAGAACAGATTGCTGATGGAGCCAAGGCCTGTTCCCTCTGAATTCTGGAGACATTCTCTGTGCCCTTCAGAGACGTGATGTGACACTCTCCATCAAGCATCCTGGGCACTGTTCTGATCAGACCTGGTTGGTCAGGAGTGGTCAGGTGCCCTGAGCAGCCCCTGTGACTGGACCCAACGCAGTTCCATGACTAACACAGAGATAGGGTCAGTGTGGAGTCAGATGGCTGTGGCCGATGACAGCATCCAAAAATGGCTACATAGATGCTCCCAACTGCATGTCCCTCACGATATGGCTTTGCCCCTCCTGTGAGATGGGGGCCCGTGTCCCCTGCCCCTGAACTTGGGGGGCATTCTGAGCATGGTAGAGGCTACACTGTGGAATTCCCAAGGCCAGCACAAAAAAGACACAGCCCACGCTTGTTCTCTGTCTGACCCCTGTGAGGAAGACTGGTAGACCGGAGAAGCCAAAGCCCGAAGAAGCCAAAGCCCAAAGAAGCATGCTGTTCTCACCCGCCAACCAGTGCCAGCTGCCTGCCATGGCAAGTAGAGTCCCCAGCTGATGCCACGTGGAGCTGCCCCACTCAGATCTGCCTGGACTACAAGTCCCTGAGCAAGGCAAGAACTTTAGCTGCCGCATCGCTCGAGGTTGGAGTGGTTTATTACATGGCCCCAGGCTACTCATGCACTGGCTCTGTAGGCTTCAGCTGGGACTTGATCCCTTTGAGTTTAGTCTCTGTGTGAGATGATGAGACTAAAAATACCTAATTACGTTCACTCACTTCACAACTTTCTTCTGAGCACCTACTGTGTGCCAGGCACCATTCCAAGTGCTGGGGGATCCTCTCTGGAAAGAGCCTCCTACACAAGAGGGCTTCAGAAAGGTCAGCCCCTTCCCCGCTTTCTATACCTGTGAACTGCAAATAAAAATCTCTCCCAGCCAAAGATCTCATATAAAGTAATAATCATTTGCCAGGTGACAGTCAATTAAAATCCACTGTCACCCTCCGGTGATTGGCCTCTGCTTTTTCCCCTGATCCATCAGAGCTGCCAGACAGAGTCTGGGCAACCTCAGGGGAAGGGGGTGTCCTTCCCTGCTAAGGACAACCTGCTGAGTAATAAAAGCGTCTATTGTTCACATCCCTGGAAACATTAATAAATAACCCAGTGTTTGGCCTGGTTCCAGCTGTGTAAAACGGTTGTTTCTAAGAGAAAAACAAGGTTCAGGTGCCAGGGATATAGCTCAGTGGTGCAAGTGCCTGCCTGGCGAGCACAAGGTCCTGAGTTCCAATTCCGGTCCCCCCCCCCAAAAAAAAAGGTTCAAAGTTTTAAGTGGGCCCAGAGCCTCAGACTGATCAAGACCCCTGATGCTCAGGCCCTCCCTGGGGCCTGGGTGGTGAAATCCCCTCTGCTGGGCCGTCCACAGCGCTCGGCACTGGCTCTGTGCTCCCTCTGAACACACACAGCTTGTCCAGCCTCAGCAGCAGAATCCAGTTGTGTGTGCTGCAGGGTGCAAGTATGCCAGAGAACCAGCAAGGGAGACACTGGCAGCCTTCTGAGCAGGGGGCCCCAAGCCAGGCTGGCAGAGCGGTGGCCCCTGGGGTGAGGCTGAGGACTCCCTGGCCAGGCTCCTCTCCGCAGCCCCTGTGAAGTCAAAGGACTTGGCTCCTTTGCCCAACACTAGGAGCATCAGTGGTATCGGCTGCCAGCAGGGCATGGGGCTAGTGGGGCTCTGCGGTCTCCTGCAGGGCCTGGTGTGGGGTCAGTGTGGTCAGTGTTAGTGGGAAGGGTGGGAGCTGGAGCTCAGGGCAGAATCCCAGAACCTCTCAGCAGCACTAAGAAGGGTCAGTGATCTGTTTCCTCCAGCATCACTGTTGCTTTCTCCAGCAGCAACAGTAATAAGTGAGCACCACAGCGTTGCCCCGCAGTTCATGCAGTGCAGTTCTGGCCCCCAATACCTAAGATTGTGCCCTTCATGGGCAAAAAGGTCCTTGTAATTAGTTAAGATGAGATTATCAGGATGGACCCTAACCCAACACAGAGGGGGTCCTTATAAAGGGGACACAGGGACACAGGCAAGGAAGGACATAGTGACATGCACAAGGACATAGGAATATACAGGGACAGAAGGACACAAGGACACTCAGGGAGTGAGTGAGTGGGTCCTGTGAAGTGGAGACCCAGACAGAGTACCCAGCCAAGGAGCACCAAGGATGGACGGCACACCCAGAAGCTGGGGAGAGGCTTGGACAGTCCCCCTGGAGTCTCCCCACCCAGGAAAGCCCACCCGCAGCACAAGACACCTGGCCTCCTGAGCCTGGGAGAACACTTTTCTGCTTTTCTAGCCACCGCTTGTGGCACTCTTGATAGGGCAGCCACAGGCGCTAAGGTACACTCCTCTTCTCCTGTCTTCTTGCCACAATTAGGCTCTCAGTGCAGACAGGAACCTGACCCTACAGACCCCTGGGACAGAGACCCCGGGTACAGCTGTGCGTCCTCGGGCAAGTTGCTGCACCTCTGAGCTTTCGTCATCTATACCGGGGAATGACCGTGGTCTTCTGCCGAGCGGATACGTTGGAAAGCACCTGGCAGCCAGCTCCACCCCCGGGTCAGGAGCTTTGGGGATGCAGCTGGGGAAGATGGGTGAGGGACATGGGCGGGGCCAGAGAAGGAGGGGTAGCGCTGTCGCAGTCGCAGCCTGGCCCGGGGCGGGGCCTCCGCTCGACGTGCTCGGCGCTCCCCAGGGTCCGCTCGGAGCTCAGCCGGCCGCCCTGCGTACGCCGCAAGTCGCGCTCTGTCTCCCGGCGCTACAGTCATGTCGACCGCTATGAACTTCGGGACCAAGAGCTTCCAGCCTCGGCCGCCAGACAAGGGCAGCTTCCCACTGGATCACTTCGGTGAGGACAGGGGTCGCGGGCAGGGTCGCTGTTAGCAGGCCCACGCGCACCGAGTCTGAGGTGCAGAGTCTGAGGGGCGGGCAGGGGGCGGGGCTGAGGCACAGGGTCTTCGCGGCGCGGGGTAGGGGACAGGGCTGAGGGGCAGCGTCTGGGGTCTAGAGAGCGGATCTGAGGTGCAGCGTCTGCGGGGCGTGGATGTAGGGGGCGGGTTTGAAGTGCTGGCTCTCGGCTGCGGGGCCTAGGGGGAGCAGATCGGGCAGCAGGGTGTGTGAGCGCATTCCCCGGGGTGCAGAGCAAGCTCGCTCCCGGGCCGTCACGGGCTGGGAGGCCGGGCCTGCTCGGAGCCCCGTGGAGGTGCAGGCAGGGAAACTGAGGTTCGGGAAGACCGCCGTAAACTGAGCATTACCCGCTGAGGCGTGGCCCCTGCAAGTGAGAACTGACGGGAGTGGGGCCCTCGCGGGACAGAGACAGTGACACCAACACCTCGAGTCGGGATTCGGTCTTGGGCTTCCTTCTGGTTCCTCCTGGGAGACCATCTGCCACCCAGCACTGGAGTGACTTTTGTTAGGGAGCAGAAAAAAATGCTGCAGTTTTTCAGTGAATGTCATGTAAATAAATATCTTTCTACTTTTATTTTTTGTGGTGCCGGTCATTGAAACCCAGGACCTGTTGCATGCTAGGCAAGCGCTCTGCCACCGAGCAACGTCCACACCCCAAATACGTGTTTGTGAATATTATGAAGTCTACAGCTGTCACACTTAGTTTCCGTGGACTCCCCTCTATCATGAACTCCCCAGTGTCTCCACCTGGATTCTGCCCTTAACATTTCTCTGCACTTGTTTCATCACATTGTAGGATTGTTTCTTTCCAGTATTGTCTTTTTCTGCCTGCTTTTGAAGGAAATAAATTGGTGGGGGTGCGATCTGGTCATCCAATCCAGGACCTCATGCGTCTAGGCAGGCACCCTACTACTGAGCCACACCCCCAGCACTGTGAAGGAGACCAGCTTTATGGGTTTGGTTTTGTTTTGCAGTGCTGGAGATTGAACCCAGAGCCTTTGCACTGAGCTACATCACCCGGGCTTTATGTTTTTTTACTTCAAGACAGGATCTTGCTAAGTTGCCTAGGCTGAGCTTAGTCCACCTGCCACAGTCTCCCAGAGTGCTGAGATTAGGGAAGTACACCAGGATGCCGACTTGGAAACAAGATTTGAAGGAGGAGTAAAATCACCCTTAAGGCTGCTGTGTTAACAGGTGAAGTTTCAACTTTCCAAAGAAGACACTGTTTTCCTTTTCATTCTAGGTGAATGTAAAAGCTTTAAAGAGAAATTCATGAAGTGTCTCCGGGACAATAATTTTGAAAATGCTCTATGCAGAAGTGAATCAAAAGAATATTTAGAGTGCAGAATGGAAAGGCAAGTACAAACTAACATATGACTTCATTTCCCACTTCCTGACTAAAGCTCTTTTTTCCTTTCGCAAAAGCCCATTCTGGTATCGTTTATTTGGGCCCAGTGTGCAACTTGTATATTTCAGAACCATCGGTGTTTGCCAGTGAAATCCAAGATTATCAGATGAGATTGTATGAAAAACTGTTTGGCAATCCTGGGAACCTCTTCTTGAGTGACAGCATTATGCGTGATTGAATTCCTCAGGGCATTTTCTTTCCAAACTTAGGCACTACCGACCTGTCATTAAGGCTTTAGAATTGTACATTGTGAAGATGCTGACTGAGTCAAAAGATTTGAAGATTGTGTGGGTGCAGGTTATTTCTTTCACATTCTCAGACTGGAAAATGGTGCTCTGTATTGTTTGGTTCCACTTACAGCTATTTGGAATGTGATAGCAGAGACAATAGGCTATTTAAGAAATAATGAAAAATGAGTAACTGCTCCTGTCCTGACAGGAGTTCACTCTTAAACAAAATAAAAACATTTGTAGCTATAATCCTTAGAGCTTTTACTTAAAATAAGAGCTGTTTGTAATCCTTAACGTAAAAAGGCACATAACAAAATTATATGATGGTGGTGCTTTCACTTTTGATTTTTATTTATTTATTCTTGTTGTCTTTTTGAGACAGGGTCTTGCTATTCAGTTCAGGCTGGTCTTGAGCTCACTTTGTAGCCCAGGCTGGTCTTGAACTCACAGTGATCCTCCTGCCTCAGCCTTTTGAGTGCTGGGATGTGTGCCCCCACGCCTGTCCTCACTTTTGATTTTTGAACCTGGTTAGTAGGGATTCAGTCTTCACACAGCCTTGTCATCAGACACTCCACTGGAAGAACAGGTGTATGCTAGGTCATCAGTGTGGACATTTGGAACTTGAAGGATGATGGGTTTTTCATTGTGGACCTCCTGAGGCCATGTGCCCCTCTGGAGTTGTTCTTACAGATCTTGAATCTGCACAAGGGCCAGACTGCATCCAGCTCCTGCCTCTAAATAGCACATTGATTGGAATAGCATTATTGAATCACTGTCTTAACATGTTCATGATGGGGCCATAATTCCTATGCCATGCTCCCTACTGGGTGGCTCTGAATCACTGGTGGTACATGCATGACTATTCCATTGGGTGGCATGGGACAGTCCCATGAGGTGGTACAAGCTGCCTGATCGGACAGTCATGCATGGACCACCAGTGTTTCAAGCTGGCAGGAACGTGTTAAACATGCACCTTTAGAAAACTGAAATTGAGGGGCTGTGGATGCACCTCAATGGTAGAGTGCTCCCTGGGTTCAGTCCCCAGTGCTGAAAAAAGTAAAACGAACTGAGAATTTCTTCTTTGTGTTGCTGCACTTTAGAAAGAGCTGGGGTGGTCTCTGTGTATGAGGGTGTGAGCAGGTCTCCTGCCTCACAGAACTCAGTACCCAGATTTTCTTTTTTGTTGTTGTTGTCGTTTTGAAATAGTTCATTATGCAGTTCAACCTGGCCTTAAACTCATTATGCAGCCCAGGCTGGTCTTAAACTCACAGTGATCTTCCTGCTTCAGTCACCAAGTGCTGGGATTGCTGGCATGTGCCACTAAACCTGGGTAGTTCCTAGATCTTGAAAATCTGTGTAATGTGAAGTTCCACAGAAAGTTAACAAGCATGACTAACATGCTTGGGCTCATAGATAGGCAAGCAGGCAGGCCACTATTGCTGCTTGCTGCTTGGGTTGCTTCAGAGGGTGTGGCTGGCTTTGGCTCCTCGTCATGGTTTAGCGGTTTTTGCGAGGGGAACAATATAATACAGGATACATATTTTATAAGATTATTTATGATAGTCACCCAAAGAATCATATACAAGAAGAGTACAAGAAGTCTATCCATACACTAAAGACCAAAGAATCCAGCTGAGGGCCTGGATCCCATGGCAATGTCCTGCATGAGTCCAGCTGAAGACCTAGAGCCCATAACAGTGCCTCCCACGAGTCCAGCTGGAGGCCTAGAGCCCATGACAATGTCTCATGCAGGCCTGTTTCACGGATCTGCATTGGGAAGGCCCAAAGTTCAGTGGTGGAAGCTAGGAAGTCTACGCCAGTGGGATGAAGGATCTGTGCTAGCAGACTGAGGGATCTGCACTGCAGCCAGGAAGTGACCCCCAAAGTAAGAACCAGAGCTCCCCACAAAAGTACCACAGCCATCCTTAGCAACAGTGAGGTCCCGAGCTCTGATGACAAGGAAAGCCGAGTTCCATCAGGAAAGCCAACTCGACAAGCTTCTCGAGAAGGCTGAGCAGCACACCATCTTTCCCTCCAGAGCCAGGAAGCAATGCTCAAAGTGAGGACTAGAGCTCCCCCAGTGAACTGTAGCCATTCTCAGCGACAACAAGGTCCCGAGCTTCTCCTCTAATGAGAACAACCAAGTTCATCAGGAAAGCCAGCATGACAAAGTCTTCTAGTAGAATAGGCCAAGAGAACAAGCAGCTCCCTAACAGCTTCTACCAGCTCCCAAGAGCCTCTCTTTAGCTTCTAACAGCACCAAACAGCTTCTAACAGCTCCCAACAGCCTCACTTCTCCAGTTTTGCATCTTATGCTGCTGGCAACAATCTTCAAGTGAGCCTCCCACACCCAGCACTGCACTGGTTCGGTTCAGCTGGGTGTTGTTGGACCACCAGTTGTCAGTCCACCACACTCCCCAAAGAAAGTTCTTGGCCTACCAGATGAAGGTTTCTAGGCAGGGACTGCAGAGGACTTCTCATTTCCCAGTGTCTCTGGGGGTCGGCTGCAGCCACCACTGTGACACAGCTGCCTCAGGCCTGTGAGGACAGTGGAAGAGGACATATGGCATGACTTCTAGTGATTCGGCCTCTCAGAGCCACCCAGGTCAGGTCATGGTTTCATACGATGGCCATCCACATACACATGCCTCATCTCACGCACTCACAGTTCTCTCTCTCTCTCTCTCTCTCTCTCTCTCTCTCTCTCTCTCTCTCTCTCTCTGTCTCTGTTTCTCACTCTCACTCTTTCTGTCTCTCTCCCTCTCTCTGTCTGTGTCTCTGTCTCTCCCTGTCTCCTTTTCAGGCTCACCTTCAACTCACTGTGTAGCCCAGCTAGCCTCAACTCTTGGCAATCCTCTTGCCTCAGCCCCCCAGCTGCTGGGATTACATGTGTGCACCACCACACCCAGCTAATGATATGCATATTTATGAAAATAGACCTCACTAGAGTTCTTAAAGCTATCATGAGGACCTAGGCAATATAACCATGATAGGAAAGTAGGTACATGTCTTAGATGATCACATTTTCTCATTAAAACAAAAATGAAATGGGGATTATACTGTTGGCAAAGACTATAAAAAAGACACAGGTGATCCATGAGTCACACCACTGTGTACCACCTGCTGTTCCTGTCTTGCTCAGGAGTGTGAAAAGACCACATTTGTAAAGTATTTAACCTGACTTGGGAGTCCATCAATGACATTATTACTATTGTTATTGTCCTAGAGAACAGAAAGCACATAAAATTTTATTGCGCTGAATCAGGAGTCAATGCCTCTAAAATGATGGTGCTGTGATAAACAGGAGTAATTTTCCTTTCCATGAAGATTCTGGGTGATTCTTTATGGCTTATAGAAATGGCCAATCCTTTACAAGTGACCAGGAGGTGAAATGTTTTTCTTGGATGGTTCCTTTAGGGTAAAGAGAGGCATCGACACCATTCTTTGGCTTTCAGACTTGTTCAGAGTCACAGTTGTTCTTGGTGGCCTACTAGCTCAGAAGCTAACTTTCTGAAGATTTGCAGGTAGCAGAACAAATCTCTTGAACTGTGTCTCATTTGGCTTACAGTTTTTCCTCTTTGTTCCCTCTTCTTGCCCTAAACCTGAGTGGCAGCATCTGGGTAAGTGCAGCTACAAGCATTTCCTGTGGCCAGTGTGACAGGCTCTGCAGACAAGGCAGCTTCACCACACACACTCAGCACCTTCAGTGTGCAGGTAGAAGTCTGGCCCAAGTCTCCCTGGTCTGGTGCTGGCAGGGCTGATCCCTTCTAGAGGCGGCAAGGCAGAATCTTATCTCTTGCCTTTCCAGCTGTGAGAGGTACTCACATCCCTCAGTTTGTGGCCCCTTCCTCCTTCCTCCCAGCCAGTGGCCATGCATTTCTGATCCTTCTTCCTTTGGCATTTTTCTGTGACTTAAGCCAGGAAAGGTTCTGTAGTGTTTCAGAATTATGTGATTAGATTATGTCCACCTTCGTCATCCAAGGCAGCCTCATTTCAGAGTCAGATTGACAGCCTTAATCTCCTAGGTCCAGGGCTCGGGTGTGGACGTCATTCAGGGTCATTATTCTTTTGACCATGTTTGAGGTCAGTATCTAGATACTGACTAGCCAGATATAGTCTTTACCAAGATGTGGGGAAATGTATTATTGTGGGGGAAATGTGTATATTGCCTATCTTGTGTTAAATGCTATCTTGTGCATTCCATACTGTAGAATTGCTGTACTGTGCATAAATTGTACTAAATGGGGTTGGGCACCCCTAGGAATGAAGGGGGTGGATCAGGGTCTTGTTGGCCCTGAGCCACTGCCAGCTCATTGGGCAAGGCTGCAATAGAGCAGGGGGAGGTGGGTGATGGGGGCAGGGAGGGGCCTGGTTCAACCTGTGGTCCCGCTCCACAAGCAAGTTTCAACACTTCCTCCTTTTAGGAGTGTGGTGACACACAGCCCCTTTAAGGGGCACAATACCATTGATTTCTTAGGTCTAAAAATCACAGAAATGGGGCCCTGGCAGGGACCTTTGCCTCACCATTTGAGGTGCTTGCCTGTGGTAGGACTGTGTCCCTGGCTGTTTAGTGCCAGAGATTTGCCTTATGGGGCCCATGGCACATACACTAAACACTTTAAAGTTATCCTTCACTAAGCATGGTGCTGTATACTGGTAATCACAGCACTCTGGGAGGCTGAGGCAGAAGGATCACAGGTTTGAGCCCAGCCTGGGCAATTTGTTGACTTAGTGAGAACCTGTCACAAAATACAAAATAAGAAAAAGTCTGGGGATGTAGCTCCATGTAAAGGCCTTGCTAGGACTGAAAAACAAGTTACCCACACTAACAAAGTGTTAAGTTGTGTGCTCTATGCTGCCTCAGCAGCAATTCTTCACAGTGCCTTGGTGGCCAGGTGTAAAATGTTATGGCCTTCTCAGCTTTCTACCCAGAATGTGGCAGCTCAGGGGAGCCAAGTGCAGTCCACACCGCTTTCTCCAGTCCTGGAAGCGTTGAAGGCTTCAGGACTCCTTGCATACTTGTGTGCACACCAGTGATGTCCAGACTCTGGACCCCTATGCCCCACCTTGAGTCCTGAGTGCATGCATCACCCCAGGGCAGGCCTCAGAGTTTTCGGAGTGTGGCTGCAAGGGCACGTTGAGGCTGTGGGTGGGTGTGTCCTCGGGCCATCAGCTCCCGGTTCTGTGGGCAGTACATGATCTGAGACATAGTGGGTGCCAGGGGCCCAGTGTGAAAAAGTGAGTGTGTGCTGTGTGACCACAAGTGTAGACCTGGTCTTCCTTTGTCCCCCTCCCTTCCGCTCAGTCCCTCTCCTTCTCCCCTGTCCCCCTTGTCTTCCCTCCCTCTGACAACTTTCCATTTTTCTTTCAGGCAACTGATGGCTCGAGAACCGCTGGGAAAACTGGGATTTGGAGATTTGGTAGATGGACAATCAGAGGCTAAGAGTAAATTTTGATGGATGAGGAGCACTAGCCATCAGGAGGCACTATGCGGAGGGCTGTGGTCCGTTCAAATTTGCCCTGAAGCTGCGTGGAGGTGCCTCCCTGTGTGTGTGGCTCATAACCAGGGACCTGGCTTGACTTCTGAAGCTCCCAAATCATTTTCATTAATTGCTGTTCTTTTTAAATTCTTATTTTCCTACAAGGGAGTAGTTTAATCTGTCAATCCGCATGCAGCACAGGGTCCCCAGGAAGCGTGCAGCAGGAGGGAAGAGCTCTGGAGTGATGTCCTGTCTCGGGCACCTTCACACTGCACTGCTTAAGCAGCTTTTCCTAGGACCCACTCACTGCAGATTTCAGTCTGTTATATGCACAGATCATCAGAGAATAACCAGTCCCTAGCAGAACACTTCCTTTTTTTATGCATAGATATGCAGGTCATTTTGGGGTTTTCCCCCCCCCTTTTTCTTTACAAATCTAGAACACAAAATAAGAAGTGAGAAGTTATTTGGCTTTTGACCTACTTGACTTTTTTTTTTTTGCCATATTAGGGATTGAATCCATGGGTGTCCTACCACTAAGCTACATCCCCAGTGCTTTTTATTTTGGAACAGGGTCTTGCTAAGTGGCCTAAGCTGGCCTTGAACTTGTGTTCTTCTTGCCTCAGCTTCCCAGGTAGCTGGAATTACATGAGTGTGCCACCACATCTGGCTCATATTTGACTTCTTGATTTTTTTATGTAATTGTGTGTGGGTACAGGGACACTACTGGGGACCGAACCCAGACCCCTCACACTGAGCAACATCCCCAGCCAGGTTTTTGGTTTTTATTTTGAGATTGAGTCTTGCTAAGTCACTGAATTGCCTAATCTGGGCTCAAATTTGTAATCCTCCTGCCTCAGCCTCCTAGATTGCTGGGATTACAGGTGTGCATCACCACAGCTGGCTCTTGATTTTTTTTTTTTAATGCTTAGTACCAAGTAAGTAGCTTTATAATCAAGTGTCATTTTCCGATTCATATCAGGCTATATCTATAAATGTAGGCATTTAGTTTCAATAACTCATTTATTATACCTCTGAGGGCTACAATATTGAGCATAGTTGGACCCACATAGGTGGCTTTCTAGGTTTTTATGCTGTAGTAGCACCCACTCTTATTTCCCAGCAAGCACTGGCTCCGGATCCCTGAATGCACTGGAGCTGTGCTCTGCAGCGTCATGTTTTTCAGTAAGCGATACTTCTCAGCTCAGGCAGGTTTTAGAGTTGCCTGTGGAGAGTTTAAACACTCTGTCTGGTAGCCAGGCAGAATATCTGGGGTGGGTTTGTTGTGTCCCAGGGTTCAAAGCCATGGGCAGAGGCCAGTGCCATGTGGCTGTGGGCCTGTCGGGCCTCTCACTTGCCCTGCTTCTCCCTATTGTTGGGAAGGGGTGGCCCCGCAGCCACTTTACCTGGCTCTAAAGACAAAAAGGTAAGGTATTTACTCCAGGTAGGAAATCTGTGTTTCACATAGACAATTCTGAGACTGTATTTTAGGGTTGAAAAACTAGAAGTATATTGTGGCTGAGAGCCTGCTGTATTATAGCTTTCTGATTTAAAGGAGCCAGGTACAGACGTAGGTATAGGTGTCTGTAGAGGTGCACAGGAACATTTCCTAGCCTCATGTGCCCAGGGCCTGGGAGCCATGACAGCCAGCCGCAGGCTCTGGGTTCTGACACTGTTCTCTAACGGGGAACCGGGTCCTGGCTGAAGCCAGGGCCAGCACAGGGAAAGTGCAAGATGAGCCAAGGACATCTCTGCCAGAAAGCAAAGGGACAAAGGACGGGGTTGAGGAAGGAATGTAGGGGGCAACAAGCGGAGCTCCCAGTGGCCAAAGCTGAGACAGCGAGCAGATGACGATTATAATACCATAGCCACGGCACACGTGAGGATCCATGGGTCCATGCAGGTAGAGGTCATGGAGTAAGTGTTCAAGGGGAAGGGGCAGTTCTTCCTTACTAACTGTAGCTGTATAGGAGAGATGGTAGCGACAGTGTCTGAGTCGCGGTGATAATGGCTGCAGATGAGGGCCATCAGTGGGCCCTGTAGTTAGTGGCAAAATGTGATGCAAAATGAGTCTGAAGAAACCTTCACTCAGGTACTTGGTGATCACAAGGGAGTGACAGTGACATTACAGGGCGGTCACTTGGCTGTGTGGTCGTTCCCAAGAATGCAGTGCACCCCCTTGGGCTGGGTCGTGACGCCCTGGGAGGGGAGCTGGTGCCATGTCCAGGGACAGCCCAGGGCACAGTGGGCTCAGCAGGCTCGGTCGTCAGCCCCGGCACCCCACCCATCTGCCGGCCCTGTCCGCGTTTCCTCCAAGAGCAGGTCCGTTCCTCCTCCGTGAAGTCTCCTGTGCCCGCCTCCTGTTGCTGCACTGACTGTTGGAAACTCGGTGGCTTCAGGCAGCACAGACGTGTCTCAGTCTGGAACTGAGACATCTGAAGTGGGTCCAAGGGCTGTGTCCCTTCAGGAGGCTCTGGGAGAATCCGTTTGCTGGCCTTTGCCTGCTTCTAGGGGCTGAGCACATTCCTCAGAGGTGACTCTTCCTCCACTTGGAGGACGCAACATTGTTTTTGGGGCAGCTTGTCCCAAACGTACAGCCAGAATCCTGAGGGAGCCCCAGGCCCAAGCTGAAGGGCACTCTACCAGACAGTTGCCCCGCTCATCAGCGTGGAGCATCGGGTTACAAAGGACGGGGGCTGTCACGGCCGAGCAGACAAGGAGATGGGACTTGGTGCCCTGTGGGTCCTGGCAAGGAAAGGACCCCAGCACAGGCTCAGGTGACCATGAGCCTGCAGGTCAGTGGCCAGTGTGACACCAGGTCGAGCTCCTGAGGTGCCTTGGTCACCGAGGGAGCCAGGTACAGCCTGTTCCACTTATACAACTTTTGGAATCTCAGGTTCCTTTGAAATAAAAAGTTTTTGTATGACACTCTGTAGTTGAGCTTCATGTGTGTATGATTAAATCCTCATTTGGAAATAAATGAATTTTGGGCAGAGGTGATGTCCCTGTGCCCTACGAACGGGTGGGCGGAGGGGCACAAAGCAGTCTAGTGTGGGCCCTGCACAATTGGTCTCACTTTCCTCAGAGGAGAGGCTTCCTCATGCTGATTTTCTAGGTGTGTTTTGCAAACTTGGGATGCCTAGGAGCCGTGGCAGCCTGACACCCTGCCAGAGCTTCCCATAAAATGTTTTTGGCAGACCATCGTTTATCATGTAAAAATGCATTTCATTTCTCCTGTGCCCCTGCCATCACAAGCCAGTGATACCGTTAGAAGGTGCCTGGAACAGGCCTGGTGGTACACACCTGTAATCCCAGCACTACAAGGATTACAAATTCAAGCCCAGCTAGGGCAACTGAGCAACTTGACAAGACCTTGTCTCAAAAAATAAAAAGGGCTGGGAATGTAGCTCAGTGTGGAGACCCTGGGTTCAACGCTCAGTACCACAAAAACAAAACCCAGGAGGAGGAGAAAGAAGAGAAGAGGGAGAAGGAAAAGGAAGAAAAGGAGAGGAGGAAGAAAAACAGAGGGACAGCCCAGTGCACCGTGGCACCCCACCCATCTGCCAGCCCTGTCCGCCTTTCCTCCAAGAGCAGGTCCGTTCCTCCTCCGTGAAGTCTCCTGTGCCCGCCTCCTGTTGCTGCACTGACTGTTGCAAACTCGGTGGCTTCAGGCAGCACAGACGTGTCTCAGTCTGGAACTGAGACATCTGAAGTGGGTCCAAGGGCTGTGTCCCTTCAGGAGGCTCTGGGAGAATCCGTTTGCTGGCCTTTGCCTGCTTCTAGGGGCTGAGCACATTCCTCAGAGGTGACCCTGCCTTCATCCTCAGGCTGACAGTGCAGCTTCCTCTGGTCTCGGGGCTGGGATCCTGTGCTCACGTCTCAGCCTGCCTCTGACCCCTGTGTGCTTGTGTCCTCCATCCAGCAGCCCAGGGTGATTACCATCTCATGATCCTAGCCTCACCTGTGAGCCGCTGTCACTGCGTGTGCCGCACACAGTCCCAGCGATTAGGACCTGGATGTCCCTGGCCAGATTATTCTGCCCCTCTCATATCCCCCCCAGTGGTTCTCAGCCCTGGACATGGCAGCTCAACAACAGTGGGTCCCTCTGGTCCAGACCCTTTGCAGTGTTGTCCATGCTGTAGGGCACACAGCTCTCTGGTAACTGTCCAGCTTCTTACAATTTTCATTAGCAGCCAGGTTGCAGGGTTTTCTCAGGGCCAAATTTTAAGTCCTGGCTTTCCCTGAAATCATTGGTGCTGCTTCTTGCAGGCATGTGACAGAATAATTATGTACTGAACAGACAGAACAGGAAATTTCAACAGTCCAGAGCACGTGTGGCACGGTCCTCGTTCTGGTAAAGCCTTTGTCTCCCCGGACATGTTCAGATCTGTGCAGACAGGGAGAGGCACTTGGAATGCAGCATAGCGCACGTCAGGGACATGGGGACGGAATGGTTGAGGGAGTGTGGCTTGTTTTTATGTGTTTATTAATGTATTTTATAACCAGCATGTATCATTTTTATAGAAACCATAAAACCATCAGTTTAAAACTCACTGTGACTAGGTGTAATGGCACACACCTGTAATCCCAGCACTGTAGGAGGCTGAAGCAGGAGGATCAAAAGTTTGAGCCCAGCCTGAGCAACTCAGCAAAGTTGTGCAAAGTCAGTGCAGAGGTTGTGCTTTCAATCCCCAGAATTGGGTGAGGAGGGCGGCGGTGGTGGTTTAAGCTCAGTTTGTTGTCATTTTTACCATCTATAGATCACATGCCTCTGGGCATCTTGTACTGCTTTGACACAGCCCTCTGCTCATGTCTCCTGGCAGACGGGTTGGTTGATTTGTTGAGATGCAGCATGTACCTGCTGGTGTCCATACAACACACAGAGCCACGCGAGGCCAGTTTGCTGCGCGCTAGACGGGAGAGCCCAGCTTGTCCCTTACCACATGATGGCTCTTGGGGAGGGAATGTGTCCGTCAGCTCTCACCCCACAAAAGGAGGCCTCAAACACAGCAGAGGCAGTCTGTGTACCCTGCACCCTAGTGCTGGAGAAATGACTGGGGCCTCTTTTTGTCCACGTTGCCTTCCAAATATATGATGTTTACATTCTAAAAATTTATTACAGTAAAAGTTATAGTAAAAATTTATTACAGTATTACTATGAATCTCCCTCAAAACCCACCCCCTTGCTTTGAACACACTTATCCCATCCTTCTTGCCACTTTCTGAAGCAGTTCTGGAGGTCCTCTCCCCTGAATGTCTTTAGTTGCACTGCTGTGGCTTCTTCAATGTCCTGAATCAGTTCCAAATGTTTTCCTTTCATGCTCATTTTGACTTAAGAGCTAGAAGCCATACTGTACCAGATCTGGTGAATAAGGTGAGTGAGGACACACCGTCATGGTTTTTTGTTTGTTTGTTTTGTTTTGGATTTTTTTGTCTTTTTTGAGACAGGGTCTCACTATGCATTTC